GGGGGGGAGCGCGCCACAGCGTAAAGCACTCACAGACATTTCAATGATTTGTACGGCAAAGTTAGGTTAGGAAACTATCTCCTTTTTGGAGGGCATGCATAACGGCATAACACCGGAGCCTCGCTGCGGGAAGCTTTGGCGCTGTTCTGAGTTTGTTCTAATCTGTCAAAATGACGGACTGCTTTCATATTTTTCCGTCATTGTCAAAAAAAAATCGGTCATAGACGGAAAATATTCGGTTGGTTAACGCGACCTCTACAAAGTATTGACTTTGGGGGTGTATACATTTGCAAACTCAACGTTTTTTAACTTTATTTTTGTTCTTGTTTAAAACATATTTCCATCTTCGAAGTGGTAGGAATGTTGTGTACATCGAATAATAACATCTCTCCAAAAGTCCCCTTAAATGACAGGTTTTAATGAAAAGACCAAAAGGGAGAATACTTCAGCAAGGCAGTGCAAACCAGAGAAGGCAGATACAATGAGAGTAAGGCTCAAAGACATGAACACAGCTTATGTTAAAGCAATACAAACAAAGATAAAAGATAAGGTGAACAAAGTAAATATAAAGAGTGTTATTCAAACATTTCCAAAAGCAAAGTTTTAAACAGAAAAAAGTGCAAAAGAGTTACCTTGATGGACTGTCCCTGCATGTTGAGTCCATTCAACGTTCTCACAGCCAGCTCAGCTCCCTCCAGAAGCTCAAACTCCACCTCTGCATGAACCTGGAGAACAAACAGTGTCAAGATATAAAGATAATTTTTATAAATGGCATCTAAAAATATAGAAATCATGTTTACTGCTGTAGCTTCTACTGTTCTAGTTTAGGAGGAACTAAAGCAGTAATTATCACCATATATTCGAGGTATTTCGTTAAATCTGTGACAAAAATACAGTTTATTTAACATAAAATAAAGGATAATGTATGTGAGATATACCCGGACAGTTGTGTTCAACATTTTGATATTTCGAAGCGGCCCACAGCAGCGAAACAGGCGCCTCACTTCCTGTTCAGAGGATCCAGCAGGAAGTGGACCGGCCAACACTACACACAGATCTCTGAGGTGAGCACACACCTGGGGGGTAACACACACACTTAGTGAAGCATTAAGAAATAAACACTTAAAGTTTCCCTATTATACTGCTTTTCATCAATATATATTAGGTCTCAGATATATACAGAACATGTCTCTGAAGTGTTTGTCTCCAAACACCAAACAGATCATTGCAGCATTACCCATAATCCCCTCTGTTTCAGCCCTGTTTCAAAAGTGCTGATTCTCTGTCTGTTACTTTAGATGAAAATAAGTAGCCCCTCCCCACGCCCCTCTGAGAGAGATTTGGTTAGAAAGAACANGGGGGGGGGGTTACCTTGGTTGGTGATTGGCTAATGGTTACACAAGCCAAAACAACATTATGACATCACAAAGTGGCCAAAATCTGATCAGCTCATTTTCAGACAGGTTTTTATAGAAATGGATCAGGACAAAAAGAGAGAG